CCAGTCTACTGTTTGTTTGCATGTGTGTGTGAGGTTGTAAGTTTGGTTGGTATGGTGACGTTAATTTGCCCCGTCCTCTCTCCTGTACCCAACAACCTCCCAGTGCTTGAGTACAGAGACAAACTATTCGCTCACTCAAACCAAAAACCTGCCACTAAGGAAAGAATCCACAATCAAGGTATAGTGAAACTGTTGCTTCCCCTCCTTTCTAACACATCTGTAGAGCCTCAGCCTCTCTGCTCCCTCTAATCAACACAAACGCTCACTAACCAGGTCAAATAACATGGCTCATTCTGCTGCACAGCTCTTGCTTAGACCTTTGGGTAACATCCTGCTAATCATGGCTGACTTTGCGGCTGCTCCTCTGGGAGCTGTGGTTTTTCACAAGCAACAGTGGCTGCTTTCATGTGGTCTTTTTCTGTTGTTCATGTCTTGGCTCAGCATTGCTGAGGTCAGCTACGAGCCGGGTCCAAAACGACAAGGAGAGGAAGCCATTTGTCATAAAACAAGACTCAAACGTAATGAAAATCCTGCAGCTCAGAGAAGACACGTCAACTTAGCAAGCAAGAAAGGTGCATGCCAGGGAATAGAAATCCTGCAGATATATTTGCTGTATGTGTGACGCCAGTGTTTTTCTGTTTATAACTGAGCTCACATCGGCATCTTAACCCTGTCATCAGGGCTGGCTTCAAATGTAAACAGTTAGCTGATTGTAGCTATGAAAAGTTTTACAGAGAGCTTATAAAACTCGATATGTTTCAAAATAAACTTCAGCATATTTTGAAGGGATTTTAGTTTAAACGATTAAAAGCTCCTATAAAACTTGTCTGCTTTAAAGCGTTTGGAAAAATGAATGAAATTCAAAGGGACTGAAAGTGATTTTTGTGGAGAAAAAAAAAATCACTTCTCTCAATGGTGATTTACGATGTTTGGACGTTATGGCATGCTGGCTATTGTAGAAATTAGTTCGTAGACTTGTTGACTCGCTAAGAATACCAGCAACTTCTGCTTCTAATATCTCAGATCCGCACAGGCAACTGCTTTGCTGGCAGACACTGAACATTAAGGTGTTTATATAATCCAAATTGAACGGCTGTGCATGTGAATGCAGTCTGCATGTCGTACGTTATTCATTATTCAGTCGTAGTGTATTTGACAGCATGTGTACATTAGTGTCATTCAGACAAGCCGGCTCCTGCATGTGTGCGAATGTATGTGACTTTTTTTTTTTTTTTTGCAGGCATGTGGGCCAGTCTGCGTTCAAGCGGCAGACTCTCTCAGCACCCGTCACAGGGCGACGTGGGCGCCAGACTGGCAGGGAAGAATCTGGCGCCCCCTGCAGGAAGCAACAGTCTGCAGGCTCAACTCCGAAAGCATCGAGCCGCCTTTTACATCTTTGGAGAAAAGTCACATCTGAGGGTGAGAAAGAGAAAACCAGAAGCTTCGATAAGTTTTATTTCTCACAAATATTTGTAGCTCATTCATGCTGTTTTGACCTAATTTCTCCTTTTATATGACCCATGAACACAGGTTCAAATATTTCTTTTAGCTGTTTAGGTCGTGGTGGTCACATTGTTGTCGTGATCTATAGAAATCATATTCCTTCCCTGCGATTTGACATGTATGTTTCTGTTAATGTTTGCCTGAAAGCTATGGCAGAGTATTAAGTAGCCCAGCATGCAGAACATTTAAAGATGATCTATTGTGCTTCCTTAAACAGTTAGTACAGGTCTATGGGCAAGTGAAAATGGCTGCAAACACATGCGCAATTGTACAACTAAACATATTTGAAAAGCAGAAGTGGAGCCTCCACCACAACCAACAAGAATGCATCAAGTGGTTTCTGGATAGTAAGTCAACAACCAAACACTTCTCTTTTCCAGCAGCCGTTGTATAGCACATACAGTGGTAAAACCAGCTGGCCAAACATGCTGGAGCTCAGCTTGGGTTGCCAGGCAATGGGCTGGGCTCAACTAGGGTTGCTAAGTAACAGTGTAGTGCCTGTCAACTGTGACTTAATAATTGGGAGGTCTTTTTTCTAAGCGCTTGGGTTGTTTTTAGAAGCAGTTCAAAGTATAAAACAGTGCAAAATGTGAATTTTGCATAGTTGCATAATGTTCACCTACCAGAGTTTACAGTTATGGTAAGTATTGGGAAATTACACCCATCAGCTATATAATACTGTACTGGAGTTCAGGTGCTTGTTAACTCAAACTACCAGCAAATGACAAATTCAGATAATGAAACTTAGGTTTCCTTAATGCCACAATGACAAATCCATAGCATTTAAATTTATCTTGTTCTTACCTTTGATTGTGAACACAACACAGGGACTCAGACTGGACTCCACCCTGAACTGTGAACTGGTGCCGGTGGAGTTTGCAGACGCCCGTCAGGTGAAAGCTGCATTTAAGAAGCTGCTGAGGGCCTGCGCCCCCAGCGCCCCCTTTTCCGACTCGGAGGACTCCTTCCTCAAAGCTCTGGAGGAATCTGAGTGGATGCTGCAGGTGACTGACAGCCAACACATCTACAACACGGATATTCACTTGGAGTCCGGCTGAAAGTTATGTGGGAAGGAAAGGGTCATCCTGTATAGCAGATTCACACCATGGATAAATTATGTGAATAAATCCACTCTGAAGCCATTTTCCCAAAGGAAACACATTCTTAAAGCAGGGCTGAGAGCATGCTAGTTATCTGATTGGCCCCCTGCAGCCTTACACTTGGCACACAACATAATCTGTGGGAAACTAGCAGCGCTGAATGGGTCCTTTTCCCCTAGACCGAACACGGCAGCATGTCCATGGTGGATAAATGTGTCTATATTTGCTCACATGCACATATGTCAATGTCTCACAGCTTCACAAGATCCTGCAGCTGGCCCTGTCTCTGGTGGAGCTTCTGGACAGCGGCTCGTCCATCCTGCTCAGTCTGGAGGACGGCTGGGACATCACCACACAAGTGAGAGAGCTGCATTAATGCCTTCGTGAGCGACACAAATAAACGCATGCAGATGTGAGGAAGAGAGTGAGATCAGTTGATCCACAAAGACTTTTGGCAGATCTCTGCTGATTAAGATCTCAAGTGAGACACCCAGTTTCCATGTGCTGTCCACATTACAGTGAGGATTTGTGTGATTTGATTAGTGCTGCGAGTGTGTTGTGAAAAAAATTTCTTTGGTTTAAATGCCTCTTTGAATCATTTCGGTTCCTGCTGATTGTTTTACGTGTGGAGAGCTTCCCATAAATCGTTAGCTTGCGCAGCCATGCTGAGGAGTCCTGTCGTGTCACACTTTGTTTCTGAGTAGTTTATAGAGATTGAAAGCAGAAACAAGTACCTTCACACCGCACCTCAGAGGCAGCCATGTGTGATTCATAAATATGCTGTTTCTCCTCTTCCCGCTCATCCTCTGATCGGCTGCATCTCTGATATCCAGATATGATGATACACTCTCTATTTCAACCTCGCTTCACTAAATAGGCATAAATCTAATCTTGGTTTCTGGGCTCATGGTTCTGATTTTGTAGGTATGTAAACATGTCTAAGTGCGGATCTGTTGTCAGTATCTTAGCATTTTTTATTTGTTTTCTGAGCTCATGTTTTCCATGGTGACCTGCGCTCATGCAAGTCTCCTGATGTGTTTATGAGGCTTGTAAGGCCCCAAGCTGCTTCTCTGAGGTTCCCTCATGTGCGGCACGTGTTCGGCCCTGAGCATCTTTCTCCATGGGCCGCCGGCTCCAGCAGGCCAGATCCAGCTCGGCCCCGGCACCAACAAATGGGATCCATATGCTTTGGCTCTCCCTGCCTCACTTCATAGGCACCCAGCAGACGGGATACAGAACTGTCTTTGCTTTTTTTTGTTTTCTGTTTTTTCTTACACACTGTTCATCGCACTTCTTCAGAGGCTTCGTTTAGTTGCCAAAGCTAAAGATACTTTTCACTACTTAGGGCAGGGTCTTCTAGTAAACCTCACAAGGGAAAGCCTAAACTTTGTTTCTTGCTCATTCGACACGCGTCAGGGCTCATTAGCTCAGAGGACGCGGGCAGGGAAGCAGGATAACCACACAGCATGTATGGACAAGTGGTTCTTAATAGTTGTTTAGTAAAAATTGGACAAGTGTGCCTCAGTGGTTTCGAATATAAATATTGAGAAATTAGCTTTTGTTTTTATTTTTTAAGATGATTGTCAGGCCCATATTTGGTCATCAAGAGCTTCTTTGCTTTAAACTGCATCCTTTTCCAACACACCTGAATCAAACGGCAGAGTCCCCTCCTCAGCGTGTCATTCAGCTTTGCAGACACCTGGTAACAAGCTATTCATTTTGTTGGTGTTGGTAATGGATGCATCTAAGGTTTGCATGATAGTAGCTCTTCCGGACTGGACGTAGGCACCTCTGATCAAGGCTGTGTGACGGCGTTAGGTTTGCTGAGAGCTGCGGGTGCGGCTCAGCAAATTGATACATCACAGGTTCTGCATAAACGTAATAAAACAGCTTTCGGTCTGTTTGATTAGTCCAGCGATGAAGAATGACTTTTGATGGTTATCAGGACTTTGCCTGTCTATGTAAATTACAAAAATACACTAATAACCTTGATATATTTCTGAATAGCAGTGTTGCATAAAGCATACATCATTTACAGATTGTTTTTGAAACGATCTCTGGCAACAGAGAATAAAAATTAATGTGAAAAATTCAGTTACTTCATTGCTATGATATGTTCATTGTGCATTGCCATTTTATTGGGCTGTAACATCAAGAAAAGAGACATGACCACAATACTTTATGTGCTCAGCAAGAGATGTCAAAGTTCCACTCATTTCAATTTAATCATTTAGCGCGACATCAGCGTGAAGGAATGCTCTGATTTTCTTTTAAAATGCTCTCTCAGGATCAGACGTCAGAACTGCATGTTGCATGGTGGTCAGTTCATTGTTTGCATGTGCAGTTTAGGGTTTTGGCAAAAATAGCTGGTAGCTAAAATACTAATTTGAAGTTCGACCAAATTTTCTTTTTCTTGTGTCTTTAGAATTTGCGTACATGCAAAAAAAAATATATATATATATATTTCTAAGTTGTATTTTTTTTCCTCCAGGGACTTTCTTTCCCACTACTAGAGAATTTATAAATCAAACAATCAGCAGTGATTTAATAACATTAAACATCTCATGTAAATCTCTGCAAACGCTCTGTCTACGCTGATGAAGATTCACCTAATGAAACATCCTAATGAACCGGCCTTTAAATTAACTGATTTTCCCCACACTTGGTCCCTTGGTCCCTATTCAAACCGGGATCACATCGGCTCAACTTTCTCACATTTACAGTATTGCAACACACTTTTTAAAATATGTCGGCATAAATGGCAGAGTTAACAACTTGATCCTTGTCTTAATTCCTGAATTCTTAAAAGCTAAAAGCACCAAATCCAACGTGTTGCATGAAATACAGAAGTTGACATCTCTAGCATAAAATTGAGAGCAACTTATCTGTACTTCATTCAGCCTGTTTTCTGCTTATAGTTAAACTCTCTTTGCTCTCTCCTAAATAGACCCCGTACATGTCCATGGTTCATTTTTATACGTTACCTTGTAGGAAACAGTTTCCTTTAATTGGCTTTTTATAACTCTGTGCTCAGTCTGACTTCATGTTTAACTGGCAGCATTTAAGTTTTTATTTTTTTCAGTATTGTAGTGTGTGTGTCAGCCTGACCTGACAGCAACCAGATGCTTTCACTGATGGGAAAAGAAATAAGATTCTTAAATTTCCCACTAACCTTTCCTGAGTCGGGGTCGATTTGACTTTGCATTTCTAATGAGAACCTGAAACCGTATTATGCAGGTGTGAAGGTATTTACCTTGATAATGGTCGATCTGATGAATGCTCTGATCTTTGTTATTTTTTGTATCTGTTGTTTCTCTTCTCAGGTTGTTTCGTTGATCCAGCTGCTGAGCGATCCCTTCTATCGAACCCTGGAGGGTTTCCAGGTGCTCCTGGAGAAAGAGTGGCTCTCCTTCGGCCACAAATTCAGCCAGCGGAGCAATCTGAGTCCCAGCAGCCAGGGCAGCGGCTTCACTCCCATCTTCCTGCAGTTCCTGGACTGCGTGCACCAGGTGAGCTTCGCTCCTCTCCACCGCAGAGCCGCCGAACCTTCCAGCATCTCCTCCTCGGCTACGTGCCTCTCCTCAGCTTTCCCTCCGTGACTCTTAACTTCATTCATGACTTGCTTGTGAGCTCATAAGATCCCTCAAAACTAAGTAGAAAAGTTGAGCTTTTCAGCTGTCATTAATTAGATGTTTGTGTAACTAGGCACCTCTCAGAGCTGCATGTGTTACAGTTTATTGCACCTAAGCGTGTGCAGAGAGGCTGCTACCCAGATGCTCCGTAACCTCGGTGATCAGAGATGAACTGTCTGTTCTCGCGTGTTTCAGTGTTCGCTTTTTGTTTAAAGCCGCATGTGGAAGATTGCAGTTTTGGGGATTGAAGAAAGGAAGAGGGGAGAACTTGGGTGTAGTTCAGGTATTGTGGGGTCGGGTGGGAGGGATGGAGAGGCGCAGATTTAAGAATGAATCCCCCACAGCTGAGGACCAGAAAACTCTGTCCTCTCAGAAATGCAAAATTAGAAGAATGCTGTGGGGTTTTTTGTGTGTGTGTGTGTCTCCTGAGGTCTCACAGACCCACTCCCATACACTTACATCAACGCATAGTTTCTGCATTTGTCTTTTGAAAGTGTAGGCTTGGCAAACGAGACGGGTTGGCGGCGTTTCTGGGGTCTGGAGAGTTATAAACAGGGGAAGGGAGAAGAGATTCGGACAAGAGCTGAAAATAGAAGTGCCTCATCTCCAAAACAGCTGTTGTTTTTGCCAGCAGACCCAGGTGGCCTCAAATATTCAGCGCTCTTGTCGGCCACCTCACCCTTCTGGATGGGAACAATAGAGCCACAGTCCAGTCTGGACTGTGTCTGCGGGTGGTGATATTACTGACCTCTGAAGGGACAGGAGACGCTCCTTCCTGTTTCTCATTTGCACGCTGGAGAGATGTGAAGCCGATGCACAAAGAGGCATCTCAGCTGTCCCACACATGGAGACACGCACAAGGACTTTCCCTCCCGGCCTCTAGCTGTCTTAATCTCTTCTTCTCTTTTTTTTTTTTTTTTTTTTTCCAATGTCCTTGCAGATTCTGGACCAACATCCTATGGAGTTTGAGTTTAATCAGTATTATCTAAAGTTCTTGGCCTATCACCACAACTCCAACCGCTTCAAGAACTTCCTGTTGGACTCAGACTATGAGCGCTTGGAGCACGGTCAGTGTCATTAAAGTTTAAACCAGGGAAATGGGAAAATAATTTATTATACTGAACTTTGTCACCCAGAAACTGAGTTGAAAACATGAAAACAGTCTTGGACAGCCACAGGTGTCCACATTACTGTCACAGCTTTGCAAAAGTATTCACACCCAATTAACATTTTCCTTTTTTTTTTTTTTTTTTTTTTGTCTTGTTAAACCCTGAAACTTTACTGTATTTTATTGGGGTTTTATGTGATAGATCAACACAAATCAGTTTATCAATACACAGTGGAAGGATAGCAATAAATAGATACAGCGATATGTTATCAGTGATAATCTTAAGAGGTATTTTAGAGAACATTAGTGAATAAGCAAGGGAGGCACGGGAGAAAGGTCGGGGAGAAAGTTGTGGAAAAGCTGAATTAAGTTTTAAAACGATAGCACTGGTCATTGTTTTCCTTTGGAAGGATGTGCCTTGGTAGGATGAGACCACTGTATATTGTTTTGGTTGACATGCAAAGTGCTAAGTGGAGCAGAAATCTAAAACAGCACATCGGCCTTAAACCAGGGGGCTGCAACATTTTACAGCCTAAAGAGTCATTTCCGCTCTCAGGCCAGCCGAATAAAACTTTAGCGCTGCAAATGTCACAGGGCTTTTTGAAAAGGTCAGCTCATAAAACTGTAAATAAATATCTACTCTCGGAATTGCGTGGTCATTTTTAAAGAACCACAATTTTATTCCTATTTTTTATGGCTTCGTATAAAGATAAGCATCAAATTTAGCAACAAAAAGAGGTTGGATCACTTTCCTGTGGGATGGAAAATGAAAAGAAAAAGCAAAAGCATTTCAATTCCTCATAATTTCCCACAAACAGATCTACAAACATATTGCATAGTTTTGGAATGAAACGCATTCCTTCATTTCAACACGAGGGTAATGTATGAAACCCTGTAAAATACACCCAAGTTTGAGTTTGTAATTTGAAAAAATTCAAAGTGTAGAAATATTTTGATTAACAGAAAAGGTTGATTAGATGCACTGAATTTCAATGCACTATCAACTTTTTATCAGTCCATTCTATAAACTTTAATAGGTTGTTTTCGTGTGTTTTTGTGGTATCACTGCTGGTTCTTTTGTTTATTTACTTGGTCGTAATAACTCCCACTTCAAAGGGCATTCCCATTTCTACAAACCCGCATACTGATTGCTTTCCTCCAACTTTTATGGCGACCTGTTTGTTGTTTTGCGTCAGCTGAAACGATCTCCTGCAGACTCACGGGTTCGTGAATTCATCTTCTCCACCTGCTTCTGCTTTAAACAGGGTTGCTGTTTGAGGACAAAGTGGACAAACAGGGCCGCAGAGGCATCTGCATCTGGGACTGTATCAACAGGATGCACCGGAGGAGTCCCATCTTCTTCAACTACCTGTACAGCCCCTCGGAGAGCGAAGTGAGTCTTTCTGCTTCCCGTCGCTGCAGAAACCAGCGATGGTAAAATAAATGGGGAAACGTTACAGCTTCAGCAACAGTCCCTGTTCCAGTTTAGTGAAACGAACCACGTGTGTCTAATTTAATTGACAGCATTAAGTCAAGTCAGTTGCTGCTCAGCAAACGCTCAAATTGGAGCTGTTCGAAGTGCAGTTAAACAGCGAATAAAAGCCATTGCCACATTGTAAAATGCTTCGTTATTTTCCTGTTTTTTCGCGCAATTCAAAACTGAACTTAGCAAAGTTTTAAAATGTTGCTCAGGACTTCTCGGTAAATCCAGCTGCTCGTTATTTTCATATTTACCGGTGTAAACCACGTGACTGCATCTAAATGATTAGAAATATGTAGGTGTCTGACAAAAGCCAGTCCCTGTGTGGGGATTCATTTATCACATACTCATCTCTGCAGCTGTTAAGGATTATTTTATGTTTACCTACAGGTAAACATAAAACTCCTGATGGGACTGTAATCTCGGCTCTGCTAGTTTCATCAAACTTAAAAAGAAACCATAACTTTAAACAAAACTGATTGAGTGTGTCGTCCTTTTGAAGATGAAACATTCTAGATTTTTCCCTCTAATCCCTTTTTACGCCGGTCTTCTTGACAGCTTTCTCTTTATCTTCTTTGACGAACTTTTGGTAACTTGAGTTCAAAGCCTGATTTTTAATGGACCTCAACAGCACAAACAGCTGCTGTGTTGCAGCTGGCCATGAATTACTGACACCAATTGGTTAAGAGTGCTTTAAATCAGCATTTTAATCAGATCCTGGGGATTTGACCACATATTATTTTTGTGTTTGACTCTTGACGTAATATCCTCTGTTGACCTCTTCCACTGCATCAGTGTCTAAATATCACAGCTTATAAGTCTTGAAATGATTTCTGGAGAAGTAGTTGCCCTTTATCAGACAGAACTGAGCTTGAAATGATAGAAAGCATTATGTTTTTCATAATTGGGAGGTTGGTGATTGTGATTAGAATGATGATAGAAATAAAGTCTACTTGGTTTACAAACCCCCCAAAAGTAAAGGTTTGGTTTGGATTGTCCAAACGGGAATGTAGTGGGACAGTGCTTGTCCACGTCCTTATTTAATGTCCACTTTGATTCACGGATGAACAGATTTTGGTCATTTTAAAATGCATGGATGCTGGAGGCTTCATGTGTGCTATAATGTGAGTTTGTTCCAGCTCTCCTTGACAATCCAGCTGAGGAAATCCTTCAGATTTTTCTTCACAGATTGTTAGATAAAATTTATCTGGTAAAAATTAAAATAGGTACATAAAAGAACCTTGGAGTGTGATTTAACACCCGTATGCAGATGACTCCCTGCTGAGCTTATGCAGACAGTATCAGGTTGGACTCTATAGAGTAACCTACACTGCTCTTGTTGTGCAGGTGATCCTGAAGCCGTGCGTCAGCATCCCCAGCCTGACTAAGTGGGACTTCTTCACAGAGGAAACTCTGTCGACTGGACCATGCTACGACTGGAGGATGATGGCGGTGAGGTCAGAGAGCACGGAGGAGGCAGACGCCAACGCAAACAGCAAGAGGAGGATCGTGTGGCCGTGTTACAGCAACGTGAGCAGTGCCCAGCCGGACGCCATCACCAAACTTCTCACTGTAAGCGTCTCTTCCCGAAGGCTCAGGTTTCAGCTTTTAGGCTGCTTTCCTGACGCTTTGGCAATTTGTTTGGTTCTGCAGGACATCGAGAGGCTGGAGGGAGAGCTGAACCAGGGCCCTGAGAAATGGCAGACGACTCTGGAGAGAGTCCGTCTGAGCATCCTGGAAGATCTCAAGCAGGAAGGAAACGTGCGTCTTTTTAGGAAGAGATGACTCGTCTTATTAGGCAAAACTACGAAGCGATGTAACGTTTTCTAAAACCTGTATGCACGCGTGCGTTTCTCTGCAGCTCCGAAAGCAGTCGCTGTCCCTCTCAGGCCTCATTCCCACGTCCAGCCTGCAGGCCTTCCAGCGCCGCTCCATGCTGCACCTGCCAGACAGCGGCCTGGGCGACGACCACAGCACGGCCACGGCCAACGGGATCAACCGCCGCGCTGCAACGCTTTACAACCAGTTCACCCCCAAGAACGAGGAGAACAGGTGGGTCGTGAACTTCCTGAGCTCCGAGACTAACGAGAAGGAACACATCTGATTCACTGGCCGAGGGGCCGGTCCAGATTTGGAAGATGATTCAGCCCTCCGGTATGCTCCGTGTCATCTTTGTGAGAATTGTCTGTACTTTCGCTTAAAATCTGGGTGTGTGATTTTTACAATTACAGAGAGGTTAAAGTACAGTCTCTTGGCTCAGATGTTGGGATATTTTCTTCTGGACTGAACAAACAGTCATTAAAATCCACTTTATGTCCGTTTTCTTTTCTTTTTTTCTGATGGTTTTTGCATCTGCGCCTCATTTTTCAAATTCCAAATGACGTTCTGACAGATGACTTTACAAAGATGAAGTGATTCAGAAACCTAACATCATCACTGCTGAAATGCTGTTCCTTATTTCTATTAATGGGGCTCAAAATGACTCAGATTTGTCCCCATTGTGCAAATGAAACAATGGAAAAGTGAAAAGCAGAAAGTTGTTTACTCAGGGTTTGTTGTCCCACTGATGGGACTTGCTCTCGTCCTTCTCCAGGTCTTACGAGGGGATCCTTTACAAACGCGGCGCTCTGCTGAAAGCCTGGAAACCTCGGTGGTTTGTGTTGGACGTCACCAAACACCAGGTGAGGCGGGGCGGCTTCCTCGTGGCGCTGACGCTCCGACCGAACACGGAGCAGCAGGTTAATTCTGATGCCTCCACAGCTCAGATACTACGACACAGGCGAGGACACGAACTGCCGGGGCCACATCGATCTGGCCGACGTGGAGTCTGTGACGCCGGCCGCACCCACCATAGGAGCCCCCAAACACATCAACGAGAAGGCGTTCTTTGACGTGAGTACGCGTCGATGTTTGGAAACGACTCGAAACGTTTTGATTTAACGGTTGGACACTCGGTCTGCTTTTAATCTCATTGATTTGTGATGAAGTGGAAGAATTTTGACGTAGTTTTCTTCCTTCTTATGCAAAGCACGAATACCACTTGTAATGAAACAGCCCACAGCATGATGCAGCCACCTCCATGCCGGATGGTAGCTTCTAGAAGGATCAACTGGACAATAAAAAATTGTCTCATTATTGCGACAAATGATGATATTGTTGTTTTGGAGACCATTTTCAAGTAATGTATTGATAATGGCATAATAATGCAAATTTGCCTTCTGAACTACTAGTAAACCTTAATTTTGCACAGAACACTCCACACTGGAAGTGGAAAACATTTTAAATGTGCAAAATAAATTGATCACGCGACTAACTGGTTAATTCATTAAGTGCTTATTGTGACAGACTTAAATCTGACAGTAATGTGTCGGAGCGTAAACGGTTTCTTGAACTCAAGCGTCGCAGAGCCTAAATGCCAACGTCAATTTATTTACATGGAGCATAAAAACAACAGACATTGACCATGCCAGATAACAACAACAGGAACAAGAAAAATATATTTAAAAGTAAGGTAAAATACACATTTTCTCCATAAACTGTTGCTGTAAAACATTCTCAAACTCTGGTAGAATCAAATGTCAAAGAATAAGAATCGGTTCAGAGCAAATATTCAAGTCTCAAAAGTCTTGGCTGTCCGTGAAGAGATGAGCCATTCCAAAGTGTAGGAGCATAAATTGCAAACGTTCAATCACTTCTGAATTTTAGCTCGGGTCTAGGAACATCTAAGAGGAACTGGTTGGTTGAACTAAGCGCTCCTACTGGAGTATATGTTCAGAAAATCACAGAGATATCATATGATGAGTCTAAGCCTTTTAAATTTTTAAAAGTAAGAAATAAAATCTTAAAAGTCCATCCTCAAACAAAGAGGAAGCCAGATCCGGCTGCTGCATTTTGGATGGTTTGCAGGTGATGAAGAGACAAATTATGAAACCCTTTTCTTAAGGTCTCTGTTTGGGAGATATGACTTCATGTTGTCAATTTGTCTCATCCTAAAATATTTAAGGCTTTGGCTTTTCTGTTCATTAAAAGCAGCAGAAAATGATTCTACTCGGCAGGACATCAGCTGAGGAAATACAAGCGAATACTTCACATTTTAGGTTTGACTCATCTAGACTGAAAAGAGGCTTTTTACTCTCACTGCTGCACTAATGTGATCAGAAGACTCTCTACTTCACAGAACTTCACTTCATAGAAGACATTTGGATCGCTTAGTAATCATGTAACTTCATCATCTGCTTGTGTTTATCTTGTTTTGGATCAATGTAATAAAGAAGAATCAGGCCGTGGAAGTGTTTTTCCATGGATAAATGTGTCAATTTTATACATTTTGAACTTTAGCTGAAAACCAACAAGAGAGTCTACAACTTCTGTGCTTCCGATGCGCCCAGCGCTCAGGTGTGGATGGACAAGATCCAGAGCTGCGTATCCGACGCCTGAACGCCAAGCTTTAAATGACATATCGGCCTCGTCAGAGGAGGAGTCGTGTGGCTGAGAGCAGCTCGCTTCGGCAGCCCAAGTGTCTTTAGTTTAAGGGGACCACAGCGAATAAAGTGCCTGACGGTGGAGGATCAACTTCCTGCTTCTCCGCCTGCAGCCGCCCGGCCGCCATCACCCTGCAGGTGGAGCGCTTCGGCCTCAGCTCTCCACTCCCTCTGATCGGGGAGCAAAGCAAACATAAGCTGACGTTTTTAGAGACTGTGCTACCAAGGAAATGTTAAATTTTTTTTTTTAAATATATCATAGCTATATCACTGGCCATTAAAACTGTGGGTTCAATTTTAAATTTAGAGGAATATAGAAAGTAGCTCGTAAAAGATTTTCTATCAGATATTTTACTACAAGGAAAAGGGTTATAGCTGCTTAAAGTATAAACCGCCAAAAACTCAAGATTTTAATGCACAACTTTTAAAAAAAAAAAAGCAATTTGTTTGCACTTAGCTCTAAAGCAATGCACTCTTTACTAAATATTGACTTTCTAACAGATGCAAACAGCCAGGCTTCAGGCATTATACAGTGTACATGTGATCGTGATGGATTAAATGAAAAGAATTTGCACAGAGGTTTCAAAAGGTGTTTTTTTTATATATATATATTTAAGTACATGATGTTTTGCTATTCTGTTGAATGTTTTAACTTCTCACTTAACTTTGACGTCTCATGCAATGTAAATTATTTTTTATTCAATGTCTTACAGTGCAAGTGTCACTTATTTTTCTGTAAATACGTTTATCACATTTTATTTTATGTCCTGTCTTCTCTGAGCAGGATTTACTTTTCTAAATTTAATTCTGACGTGTTTGTTCTTTTTGTGACTTTACTGATGAAACTCCCTGAATGTTCCCTACTTGTGGTGAAATGTTGTGAATGAAAATGACCTTATGTTATTGCTGACATTCTCCAGGCAGTCTCTGTCTCTCCTAAGGGCTTTTTAATCAATCTTTTGTGCAGTTTTCTGATTATCTGCCCTATGTCTTTACAAGAGCAAGCACATGAAACAATTCAAAGATGTCAGAGGTGTTTTTTTTTTTTCTTACTTCTTCTTTGTACCATGTTTTGTGACGACACTAAGTTTTTGCAAATAAATCGAACATACTTGAGCCTTTTTCAGTATTTAGAGTGCTTCTTCCCTTTAACTGCGAATCAAAGATGCTCCAACAGTCGGTCAAAGCAGGTAATGAAGGTCTCGGAGACGCTTACCAGAGCTTAATGGCGGTCTTACAGAAGATGTGAATCTGATGTCGGCTTCAGGGTTATTAGCGAACAGCCATGTTTTCTCTGCTCACTTTCCACAGCGCATAAGGCTTCCCTTCATTATTGACTGGATAGCCAAACAAGAGATAGAAGTGTTGTTTGGGATCAAATGAAAGTATTTTGTTTTTTGGTCATCCTTGGCGGGCAGCCATGTTGCCCTTTTGTAAAAAAAAAAAAAATAAATAAATAAATCTAAGATTAACGGTAGAATTTGGGTCTTGTGTGGGCCTCCTGAGCCTAGAAGATTTGTGATGGGTTTCTACATTTGCCTACAGAATTTTAAGCTTTTGGTTTTGTTTTATTCCATTTTGTAACATTTCTGAAGCAATTTCTAAATTTCTTCAGTTACGCTGACAGCGTAGCGTCCACGCTGGAATTTTGGGGGGTTTCCATGTCTCAGTGTTCACTGCCAATATTGTAAAAGGTGGTCGGTAAGAAAATAAGTTTAACGACTAGAACATTTCTGAAGAAATTTAAACGGGGGAACCCAGCGTTCTGATGCTAAAAATTAGCATCAATGCTAAGTTTAGCTAAAGTAATATTAATAGCATGTGGAGAATCACAAGCATATTGACTAAGATGATCTTACTCCATTCAGTATGTTAAAACTACTGTATAAGCTAAAATTAGCCAAAAAGCTAATGTTAGCCTAAATGCTGCGAGGAACATACGGGTATAACTAGCATGTTTGTTACATTGACTTCCTCCATTCAGTGTGCTAAACATGGCTAATAAATAAGAAAAATTGCTAAAAGCTTATTTTAGAGAGAAGGCTAATAATTGAGGCTTTTTTTTATTTTCAGTAAGCTTCATTTTAAAGGGCCACACTAATCCCATGTTGGGTTAAACCAGTCATATCGGTCACATTCTGCTCAGCCCTCCTCTGTCAGTGTTCCACCATCACTGTAGCTCACTGTAACTCCATATGATCTTTGGTTTTTCTGCTTTATAAAGTAGTAATTATCTGCTAAATAAGAGCTGTACCTGCAGTCCTACATGTAGAAATTGTTTCCTCCCAGAGCAGCCGATGTGACTTAAGTGAGTCATATGATACACAGGAAAACTTCCACTATTTCTAGTTGCCATGTTTTTTCTCTGACCTCTTAGAAACAATTCAAATTTAATAAAGATATTCTCTTAATTAAAGGTAACCAAACACCAAGTTGTTCTTTCTGTTATGAATACAGGTTTCTCCCCTTGCCAGAGGTGGATGTGGTTAAGGGCCTGAGCTCATGGCGTTTGGCGCCTGATTGGCGGATCAGAGCAGCTCTCCTTCAAGGTTTCACTCGGAGGAGGAAGCTGAGGTCAGAGGGAGATCGGGTGTTTGTTTTGTTTTTTCTGGAGGGATGTGGTGGGTGTTTTGTCCCACAGTACAATCGAACAGCTGCCATGTAGCGGCAGCAGGTGCAAAGCTTCATCAGCCTAACATCTGGGCAGACCTTTTGGCAGTTCCCTCCATTTTTTCGATGCTTCCTTTCGGCACGGAGATCAGGCCCACAAACGGAGGGATGCAGCGGATGTTGTCCTGCAGGATTGCGTGGAATGGCATGATTGGAATTATTTTCTCTTCGAATTGGAATTGGTGGTTTCCCAAGAGTCATTTCATCCAATTTTTGATTCTCCATGGCTGCACTAGCCTGACTGGATCAAACCACACTGATTTAGATTAGCTGTATGAAAGTAGGACAAGATGAAAGAAATTTCTTGGTTACATAACCCATGACGTGAGTTTAGGTGCATTACAGCTCCTGCAACTGATTTCTCCTCTGATGACAAATTACTGATGAAAGCCTCCATCATCCCAAAGGTCAGCAGTGTTTTAGCATGCATATCTGTAATGGTAATCTTGTGTAACTTGGCCACATTTTTTATTTTTTTTTTCCTCAAGGTTCAGTGATTTGCCTGAGTTGGCTGGAAGCGTGCCGCTCTCAAATAAAAGAAGACAAATCAAAAGCAGTCTATAAATTCAGGCCTGCACGTATCTGCTTGTTTTGGATCCAACACTCTTTCAGCGCAGTCACAGCTGTGCAATTGGATAAAACAACTTGAAAAACAAGCTGACTGGCCTTTCCGCGGACCCCCAAAAATACCCCGCTGACACGTAATATTGATTTATTTCATTGGTCCTCTAAGTCCTATTATCCTAGTAACCCTGTGGCTGCAGTGAATGCTAGATGTGTTCTCATTTCCTTTGGGCGTCAGCAATATGGGCGATAGGATTCAAAGATGCTGAGGGTTTGCCTCTGCGGGCACCTGCTCTGACCCTAAAAGCTAATCGCACGTCATTTACTCCCATTGCAGAAATCAGAATGATGTCAGCTTGCCAGCACATGGGGGTCTACTCAATGCACGCTTCGGCCGATGAGCCGTTCATCCGTGCACAAGAAAAGTTCAATTAACCATTCAATTTGCACTAAGGGGGGTTAAAAAATGAAGATTTCCAAAGCAGCTTGACATTTTTTTTCCCTCCAAAAGTCCAGCACTGTGAGGAGCCATCTGCAAGACATTTCTTCACACTATCCCATAAAAATTTTCCAGTTTGGACCAGGATGTTTTGGATGGAAACCAGATGAATTGGTCATGGGCATTAGGGCTACTTTTCGTACACATGGGGTAAGGATGAGACAGTTAGAGAAATTCTTAAACCTGGAATGTGGAAGACTTGTGCAATTTAGCTACGGAGATCAGAGACTCCCGATTCTGAGAATAGTTTTTTAAATAAAACAAACAAAGAAAAAAAAAAGGTTGCCATTTCTCAGATTCTGAGATATAAATACCTCCTCAAGAAGATATGTGAACAGTAAATCTGTTTAGAAAACACACACACAGTAGGATAGTTCTTGAAAAACACTGCAATAAAAACAATTTCAACAAAAACAGGCTTTTTTTTTTTTGTTCTTGTTGTTGCTCTGTAAATCAAGCAAACAAGAACCAAAAAATCTTTCCATCATGGTGAATCTCAGCAGCATGAGCTCAGACACTTGGGCAATCTGTCTCTGTATCTGATCTTATCTGTGCGCTGCCGGTGTATAGATGCGTGCATGGTGTCAGTGGTGTGAATGCAGGTTCTTATCTCGTCTCCTGCTCTGTCAGCTCTGAACTCGACGTGAACTCTGTTTCATTTCTAAGCCGTCTCTCGAAGAAGAAGAAGTTGAAGCAGAAACAGAAGAACAACAGGCTGACGTTGGTGTTGCGCTGACTGAAGAAGCTCATTGTGCAGCCTGGCAGACACGAGTCAAAGCCAGTGCCCAGCTCTGACAGCTTCACCCAGGTACAATGCTCCTGTAACCAAAGCGCGACGGCGCGGAGGACAAAACCTGAGACGTGCGTGAGGCGAACAGAGGCCCTTTGTTATCTCAAAGTGGTTTGTTTTGACACCAGCATCTTACTGCTGCACGTCGCGTGCATTAGGGGAAATTAATCTCGCCGTGCGATTACTGGAACAATAAGCCAGATTATGCAGCATCTACCAAACTAACGTGACGCTTTGTCTCGCTGATATCACTTTCAACATCGGGTGTCATCAGGTTCCCCTCTGAAGATTTTGATCCACCACAGTGAGTGAAAGTGGTTTTAAGTGAGGTAATGCAGCCTCTCCTTCAGCAGGTTGTGTCAGCTCCTGTATCGGTTTGTCTCATGAGATTAGGGCACCGCTTACATCAGCGCCTTTTAGAAATCTGAACCGAGACGATGACAGAAGGTGCTCAAAGCTTTCAGATGTTGATTCATCTTGTTCCAGACTCAAATAGAAGAAGAAGAAGAAGAAGAAGGACATCTTTTAGTCCTCCAGGAGGAAAACACTGAGAGAGATGCCAAATTGTCTGGATGATTTTGAACTAGACCGGAGCATAGGTATTAGAATACGTTTAAAAACACTTGAAAATGTCAAGTTTAATTTGCTGAAACTTACATTTAGTTGAATCTAATGTGCTCATGGATCACTGTGCACTTTGCATACACTCCAAATATATTTTGCAGGGTTAATAAATACATTTTTTTCTTTTTTTACATTTCATCAAGTTAGAAACCTTAAACTTTAATTTTTAAATATGAGTCAAGACTTTATAGAATCAGTACAGTTAAGGCTGCAAGTTTGTGTTATGTTTCTACCAACTTTGTATGACTAGATATTAAGATTTTTTCCAATCTTCCTGCTCGATAGCTGCAGCCTCAGTCAGATTAGAAGGAGATCATCTGTGAACGACAATATTCAGGGTTTTTGGCTTTGACTGGGCCATTCTAGAACCTGGATATGCGTTGATCTAAGCTATTCCATTGCAGTTCAGGTCATCTATTTAGAGTTCTGCTGGACGGTGAACCACTGGCCCAGTTTTAAGTCCTCTGAAGCACCCACCAGGTTTTCTTTCAAAGATTGCTTTGTAATGAGCTCAATCCATTTTCTGTCCAGCTTCCCTGCTACCGCTAATGAACAGCATCCCCTCATCATAACACTGCCACCTTTATGTATCACCACATGGATAGTATGTTCAGTGTACTGTCTGGGAGGTTTCAGTCACACAGCATTTTCTATGTAGGGCAAAAACAAATACATTTTGGATACCCAATTAGAAGATCTTCCTCCTCTGTGATGTCAACGCAGCTTGTTGCAAACTTTAACAAAAAAAATACTTTTAATGCTTTTTTATTGCCACATTTTCATAAAACCCAGTTGTCATAGCACTCTTGGCTGCTTCTTTGATGAACATTTCCTTTGCCCAGACTGTCATTTCAAGACCATGACAATGTCGTTGCTGTTGTGTGATACTCTTTCCACTTTTGGATTAAGCAACACTCTGTGAGATGTTTGGAGTTGGGATGTTGTTTTCTAACCTAGACGTGCTTTAAGTTTTT